AAAACTTCTTAAGGCTGAGCATGACAAAAACAAAGCAACTGTAAGAATTTTAAAGTATTGTAGGCAACGTTTCTGGAACATTGGAATGTTGTCTGGAATCTTAAAACGCGCCTAAAATTAGTAAAATATCTCACTCTGCTGAAAAAAACACAACCACGTTTCTCATTAGGTTTGTAATATTTATGCACACTACTGTTGCAGCTGGTTGAACGGTGACAATTTTAATTCATGTTTGAACTTGTATTTTGCACAGCTCAGTCTAATGGTTTCAGACTTCAGGGTGGGGTACGTCTCATGAGTCTGAAGATAAACTAGTGGGGCTAAAAACAACAACACAGTTCTCCTGCATTGGTTTTTTCACTCTTCTCTACTTTGGTAAAATGGTAATTTTATTCTATTTGGATCAACCAAGAAATCTAGAGGTTTTACAAGGTAAACAACTGTGGGTAACTGGAACAATGTGTGTATTAAGGTGTAAACACTCAATCTCAATAGTAACAAGTAAACAGATCTGATCAATCCAGTGAAGTAAAATGCAAATAAACATGCATGTTGGGCTGCGTTCAGGCCCAGGCCTCCCTTACAAAAGAGATCTGTGATATAAAAGGGATTTGCCTGGTTAAATAAAATTTAATCAAATGTGCAACATGTTCACTTAAAATAGAGTGCAGAACAAGTATAAAGCAATGCAGTGCTCGAGTTATACAGTAAAAAGTTATAAGCAAATAATTTGATAATTTACGTTTCAGTTAAAATCCTGAAATTTCAATCAACTTTCTTGAAAGCATTGTTTCATCTGCACAACAGACATTTTGTATTAGAGTATAGCTACATGTTTTATAATAATGCATGTTGCTAATATTTTGTCAGAAAACTAACAACGTAGGTAAAACGAACTTTCACTTACTGTAGCTAATAATTTTATATGTGTAATAAATATGTTACTGTCTGTACTTCTGGATAAAAAAAAAAAGCTGTGTTTATCCTGTTGTAAATAATTTAATGATAAAAGTCTGATAAAAGTCATGGTTTGCATAACAAGTGCATAAACCTAAGTAATGTTTCAGAGGCATCTTAGCACCAGCAAACTGTTTTTTTTTTCCACTATGCTGTTGCTGGAGAATCAGTTTTGTTCGGTGCCTCCTAAGATTGAAGAAGTCCGTTGGATGACAGATGAAACGTCTCAGCAAAAAAAGAACCCGTCCAGATGACCTGACTGAACATTGTTGGATTTTATACCTGGATTAATGAAAATGAAGTAACGTTTATAACCTATTTAATTGCTATTACAGACATACAGAAAGCTACTTGCTTATAACGATGTGCAAAATAAAAATAAAGGTATGCTTCTAATAACAGGCGCCCAGGTAGTTTAATAAAAATTGTGATCTTCTATTTAAAATTAAAATAAATAACCAACAACAGATTGAACATTTGTGTTCATCCTTTTTATGACATTAGACTGTAGTCTGGTGTTTTAATTATCTCACTCTAAATGAGCAAAACACTTTCTGATCAGTGTCCTGAGATGACTTCTGTTGTGACTTGGCGCTTTATAAATAAACTGAACTGAAATTTATTTAAATAAGGACTCAAGTGCTTTCTCTTTTGTCTTAACACTTAAAAAGCAATGCAAATACAACGCAACATAAACTGCAGTCTTTTAATGTATAGTATAATAATTGAAATCCATCAAGTTTATTTTTACGAGTCAAGTGCATTCATGCAAACTTTGTTTAGAAGATGATAAAACGGTCTCTTAAATGCAAAGGTCGCAGACCCCTTATAAAGAAAGTCACTTTTAAATATGGCACATTTATTTATATTGCATTCGTTGACGTTGCATCACTGCTGCTTTGAGTTGGGGGGAAAAGTAAAATAAGTGTTTGAATCGGAGGAAGCTTCCTCTCTAACCTCACCATGAGTTGTCCGAGCGTGGCTCATCTCTGCAGGTTGTTTCAGAGATGTTGACAGCTGAGATCAGCCCCGAGAGGCTGTGACTCTGCACCAACAGGTGGGCCTGCAGTCAGTTGGGACAGCTGCTTCATCAACCGCCGATCCGAACGGTTCGGTTCCGTCGCTGAGCTCAGCTGCCGGTTCACTAAAAAGTGTGCACTCGGGATTCTCCATCATATCTCTTAGTGTTAGTGTTACGGTAAGATAAGCGGAGCTCAGCGAGTGTGAGGAGAATCTGGCAGAAACAGCCTCATGTTTCAGTTTCAGCTAGCAGAGTTTAGTGTTTTTTTTAACCTTACTCACCTGAAAACGCGCTTCCTCTGCTTCTTTCTGTCGACTTCGATTCTTATTTTTGTTAAATTCCCCCAAAGCGTGGTAGAAAAGTAATAAGTTGATCGAATTTGACTCTAAAAGTAGAAAGAGAAAAAAGTTTCACGTTTATTTTCAAACTTCTCCCGGCGGCTCGTGCGTTACGTCACTGAAAGGCAGTCAACGGTAGATGACGACAGACGGCGAAGTGTATCATGGGATTTGTCGTCCAAAAAGTAAAAATCATTTACTGTACAGATATTTTTCTAAAAACTCGATTTTGGAGTTGTTTTACTGACTTCAAATAGGCGTAAGGTTGAAAGAGGGAAAAGTCTATATGAAGGGATAACATTAGCGACATATCCAAGAAATAAATTCATAAAGTTGCTAAAAAAAATTAAAATAAACACTTCTGGTTTTAACAATACAGTGTACTATTTTGCAAAGCCTTTCAACATTCCCTGTTATCACGTGAAAATAAGTTAAGAATAAAACATAAAATATAAAATAATCACCAAAATAAAAATATTTAAGATTATTTTCTTCAACTTTTCTTCTATTGTTGCAATGTAGATATTATTTTTAAGGAAAATTATTTTGTATAAATGCTATTGCCAATAAATAACTTGTCACAATTTAATATATTATAAAAAATTACACCGCAGTAATATAACAAAATATAATGCATTTTGACAAAAACATGAACATTAATAAAACCTTTAAAAAAAAAGGATAATTATTTGTGATCAGCTATGATGTTCACATGTTTCTTTTTCTGGGGTTGCAGATGCTTTCAGAACAAAAGAACATGAGGAATTACAAAATTTAATCCAAGATGAAAGAAATAAAAATGCTGCAGGCAAACTGGCCATGTGAATGCCTCAAGAATATTATCCTCCCACACAAATCCTTATTTAGTCAGCCCTCTTCTGCTGTAAGGTTCACCCTCAGACCTCAGTTGAAAATTTGAATGTAGTAGCTTTTAAAAAAAACTTAGTAGAGAAACATTAGTATTAAAACAATTTAATTAAGTTATTGAACTTCCATGCTGTTGATGAGGGGACATTGCTGCCACCATCTGCACACAGGTGTGTACAGATGCAACAATAAAAGTGAACTTAGAAGCTAAAACACGCCAGCATGCAATTTGGGATTTACCAATTTATGGGTGCCAAATGTCAATGTGTCCAACTAGAGTACAAGATGAGACCACCGAGGACCAAGTTGTGTCAGCAGTCACAAAGAAAGTAATTTCGGTTTTATTACCAGTTTTCAGCTTCGTCAACTTCTTCATTTCATATTAGTTTTTTTATGAAGAGAGAAACTTACACAAGCCAGACAGTACAAGTGGTTTTAGATACGCCTGGTTAAAACCTGAAATGACATTTGCATCAAGCATGTAATACTAAAGGATGGCACTTTAGTTTGAGATGACAAGTTATGTGTTTAATTCATTTTGTAGCAGACATGGAAACTTCTGTTTAGTTTTATGATGGAGATCGTGGAATAACTTTTAGTGTCACTGCAAATTACAATGAAATTTGGATGGGGCAATCCCCAGGTGCCTCAAAAAGGGTGGAAACAAATAAAATAATATTAAGAAATACAGTTTAAAACTAACATTGAGAGTTGAAAAAAATATATTAACAATATCACCAATCTATACATTATAGATTAACAGCCATTTTAGAGATATTAAGGTGGATTTTGGTGTAATGGTAGCTGAGAGTAATGCCCAGTAAATACTAAATTTAAATAAAAAATTCAAGATGACCACCAAAGCTAAATTTAAATGGCTTTAACTCAGCTATTTTTACACAGAGCTGAAATTTGGTGAGGTTATAGCTGAGAATGTTCCCCATCACATAATGAATCCAAATTTAAAAAATCCAAGATGGCCACCATAGCTTAAAAGAAAAAAAAAAGACAATAACTCTTGATCTGTTGCCTTAACGAGATAATATTTGGTATGATGGTAGCCGAGAGCGAACCTCAACTCTTACAGTAGTACAGTCAAATCAAAATTTAAAAATGGCCGCAGCTTGGCCGTCCCTGTCGAAGTGTCTCCAGGAACTTTCTAGGTCTCTAAATGTTGTTTTTCTTCTGTTTTGTGTCTTTCCAGCTTTGACATTTTCCTTTTTTGATGCCCATCTTCACTTTTTTATATCCAGTTCATCCTTTTTATCTTTAATGACCTGAATCATTTGTTGCCGCAGCCATGTGCCTGTGAGCTTCTGTCGGCCGTCCATTCCTCCCAGAGAGAAACTTCTGTTGGAGGATGTCGTCAAGGCGACCGTTGCTAATGGCGACTGCCATGGCAACCAGAGGCTTCAGCTCAATTAGATTCATTAGTGTTCAGGTGAAGGAGCTCCTGGTGACAAACATCTTAACTATGGAGAAAAGTTTAAAGCCGAAGCACCACGTTGACGTTCAGCTCATCTGCAGTGACTCATCCAACGTGTCTTCGTCCTCCGTGTCAATAAAACCAATCAGCGTCGTTTCTCCTAATTCTTCTGTTGGCTCAGGTGCCAGGATTTCTCTTAAAGGAATGTGGAGGATTAAACCAGACAATAAAAGAATGATAATCCCTCGACTGAATTGGATCTTTCTTTTCACCTGATTGCATGAAGAATGCATGTGAGTGACGGACTCTGGTCTGTTCGGGATCAGGTTAGTAACACAAATAACCCTCGAAAAATGTGGGACGATTCCTCACCACGGACAAAAGTCAGAGATGAAGTCGCTGATGTTTCTTTCATTCAAAAACCAGGCGATCTATTTTTAATTTTCTTTCTTTAGTATGTGGGCGGTCTAAATAGTGGTGGGGGGGTCAGAGGGCTTTATAAAAGGTCTGAAGGTTCGAACCAGGTTTCAGTTTAAAGTTGAATCATCGGAGGAGCAGCTTGGACCAACTGGGACACCGTAAGTACCTCCACCTGGGTTTATATTTTCTCAGCTTCTGAGTTTAATTGCTGCTCTGAAACTTGTGTGACTGTTTGATTTTATGCATATGACAATTTATTCACCCATCAATCAGTTCTGTCACCCTCATGAAGCCTTTTCCTAGTAAAATTGGTAATTTTGGACAACAGTCACTGAAAATAACTTTGGAAAACCAGATTAATTTAATTTGTTTTTTTACTTAACATTGTGTCCAGGAGTCTGATCAATCAACTTACTTTCGGTATAAACAAATTGTCTTGTAAGTAATGATAAAATACTGCCAGCGAGCCCTTTGCTGTTAATTTTACAGTGAATATGTTGCAATAAATCTGCTCTAGTAAAACGAATCCAGTGAATAAAAGTCGATTTTTGTACTCAATTAATTTAGGAGTAAAATACCAGCAGTGGAGTTGCCTCTTTTGAACTAGTATTCTAAAACGATCATGAAGTTAAATTTATTTAGGACCTCTGAAACCCAGAAAGGAAGAAACGGGTAAAGATGGGTGGGTGGATGTTGCTTCATTACCACAGAATAAAGTCTGCATTAGTATGCATCAGCATTATCAAAATAAACAGAAGAAGATTAATGACAGAAACAGAGATTAATTATTGTCCCTGTAAACTGTTTAAAATAAATGCATACTGTCAGGATCAGCTGGACAGGAACGAACCCAGTTGTGCAGACAGGACTCAACTCGGCAGATTACAAAAATAGATATGTTTAATGATAAAATAAAAAGGTAACAAAACAATAAGCTGACGTGGCAGCAAAAACTTACATGGACTCAGGAAGCTCAGGGAGAAACTCACAAGACGCAGGAAACATGAAGACCCAAACGAATACGACCCGACAAAGGAATAACACAGGACAGGAGATTTATATACAAGGACAAGACAAGACGTGATTACAAACAGCAGGTGTGACGAGACAAAGGTGGCAACAATTAAACTGACGAGGAAACACTAGGGAAACACAGACACAAACAGAAACAGCAAAAGGTGCCATCCTTACACATACAGACATCTGTAACACAGCAGAGATCTTTATGTGTTTTCAGATATTTCACTAAACTATTAGAGCAATGGTCTGATTTATCATTTCCTTTCTTCAGATTTGGAAACGGTTCACATCTGGTCTGCGTTTTTCATTTAGACGATTCAAAAATAGAAAGCTGGGTTTTGAATCTTAACTTTAGTTACATTTTTGTGCAAAAAGTTTCACTGCATTTACAACAGGCTTGTATGTTAAAAAAAGGGCGATGTACGGCAAAGGTTTGTGCAACAAATGAAGAAAAATCAAGAGCGAATACGTTTTATTTTAAATAAATATTGGCAGTAGACACGTGTGGCTCCTGATTTGTGATTAATTGAATAACAAAGCAATGAATGAATGGCAAATATCTTAGAAGCTTTATTTTATTTTTGTCCATTATTTTTTATTTTGTTTTGTCTTGTTCTTTATTCAGAAGATGCAGATATCCCACCGGTCTGCGCAGCAGTTTGCTGTCATGGTCCTTTTCGTCTTGACAACCGTCCGGAGTCAACAGAATGAAAAGTGAGACCACATTTGATTCTGTTTTCTGTTTGCAGAGGAACTGAGCATTCAGATGCAACCATAAAACAAAGTCATTGCTTTTTAAATCATTTAAACGCTCATCAACATGTGATGTAAATGTGAAATTGTGTGCACAACAAAATACTTTGAGTTGCACACCGCCCGCCGCCTCCTTACTTATAAATTAGCTCAAGAAAGTTTGTTCTGTCTTTGATGCAGAATTGAACTTCTCTGAAGTGTTTTCTGAAATCACTTCTAAAACACAACTTGCACAGAAACTTTTCAGAATGTTTAGTTTTTAGTTATAAAGAAATAATCGAAGACGTTTACGTAAAGGTTGCAACAAAGAATGAAGAGGATGTATGGGAATGCATCAGTGCTCAGATGATAAATATCTTATTAATCTGAAGGTAGCACTGATGCAGTGATATGTTGTCAATGTTTGGAAGAAACTGTGTTTTCTAAGAACTGAATTTTTCAAAAAATATTTATATATTTTTTAAATACCATATCAATAAAACTCTGTGTGGTCAAGCTCTTGTTTTTACAATTTTTCTTGAATATTCATCTTTAAAAATCGACAATTTTATGTCTTCCACTGCTCCTCTTCCACATGGTGTTCCCCAGGGCTCAATCCTTGGCCCTCTTTTATTTGCCCTTTACTTACTCCCCCTTGGCTCGATTTTTAGGAAGCATGGCATTTTATTTCACTTTTATGCTGATGATTGCCAGATCTATTTTCCCATGGCACAAAACAACACAGTTCAACAACTTACACACTGCCTTAATGATGTTAAGGCATGGTTCTCTCTTAACTTCCTTAGTCTAAATGAGAACAAGACTGAAGTTATGATGTTTGGACCAAGTTGCCGTTCCTCTCCCAGCATAGATCTTGACTTACTGTCATTTTATCTCAAGGACTGTGTCACCAATCTGGGGGTGAAGTTTGAGTCTGATTTTAAATTTGAAAAACAGATCAGCAGTGTTGTTCAGAAAAGTTTTTATCAGCTCCACCAAATAGCAAAAGTGAAACCAATCCTAGCAAGACCTGACTTGGAGAAATTAATTCATGCTTTTATCACAGCTCGTCTTGACTACTGTAATGCGCTGTATGCAGGCATTAGCCAGACGTCTCTTGCTCGTTTGCAGCTTGTGCAGAACTCTGCTGCTCGCCTGTTAACTCAGGCTCGTAGGCGCGAGCATATTACTCCCATCCTGGCGTCCCTTCATTGGCTCCCTGTGCACTACAGAATTAATTTTAAGCTTTTGCTGTTTGTTTTTAAATGTCTGAACAACCTTGCCCCACCATATCTGTCTGAGCTGCTTCAGCCTTACTGTCCACCCCGATCCCTACGATCAGCTGATCAGCTGCTGCTGACAGTCCCTAAAACTAGGCTGAAGCTCAGAGGTGACAGAGCGTTTGCTGTTGTTGCTCCCAGGTTGTGGAACACTTTACCCTTGAGTGTCAGACAGGCCTCCTCTCTTCCTGTTTTTAAATCTCTTTTAAAGACACACTTTTATTCTTTGGCTTTTAACACGTGATCTTATCTTTTATGGCTTTTTAATACACCTGCTGTGAAACTGGTATGTGAATGGTTTTTATGTTTCTTTGTGTATGCTTTGTATGTTTTTATTGTTTTGTTTGTTTTTATTGTTTTATTGTGCAGCACTTTGGCTACCCTTGTGGTTTTTAAAATGTGCTATATAAATAAAGTTGATTGATTGATTGATTGATTGATAAAACTTCAGACAGTCAACAGTGGCAGTAGAGTTAATTGATACTAAAACATTAAAAAATATATATATATTTTTTTTTATTAGACCCATTTTTTTCTGACAGCAACAATAATTAGATTTACTGATGCATGCAATCACTATTTTTATTTATTTATTTAATGGGCAACATTTTTATTCTGCACAACTTAGAAGAATCTGTCTTTACTCACGGGACTTGTGGATGTCCGGACATCAGCTCAGATTATTAAAAATGTATTTTCTGCACAAAATCAGACAACCTCAGACTGCTGAACATCTTTTCATTGACTGCTGTCAGTTTTTTAAAATTTAACTCTTATGCAACTGTTAATGGATTCATTGTGGTTATTGTTATTTGTGTACTGTTTTAATTTTATTTTTTAAAGATAAGTAAATCTTAGCTTGTTTTAGAATAATCTGTTTATTTTCTGGAGATCTGTTGCGAGGCAGTGCTCTGACTTCTGTTTGGTCTCCTGCAGCCGCCGGGCCGTGACCGAACACCAGCTGATGCACGACCGTGGTCGAAACATCCAGAGTCTGAAGAGGCTCATTTGGCTCTCCAGCGCCATTGAAGGACTCCATACCGCGCAGGCCCGCTCGGCTGCTTTCAGCCCCACAAAGATCCTGGAGTCGGCTCTGAATCCGGTGCTGGTCCGTGCTGCAGGGAGTTCCCAGCCTGCTCAGGTCCACAACGTCCTGAGGGACTTCTTTTACCCTCACTTGGCTCATCTGTTGGAGGAAGAACCTTAACACCACACAGATGCACAAACAAAAGCTGTACATAAAAAATAAATACTTTGTGTTCTTTTTTTTTTGTAAAATAAAAGCCTATAGGACAGCACCAACATGATCTGTAGTACCAAGACTCTCAATCAGCAATAAATACATACAAATGTTATTCATGAAAAGTTATTTTCTGTTGGAGAAAAATATTCCTGCTTCATCTCATTTAAGGAGCTGCACTTGGCGACAGGAGAAGATTTTAACTGGTTTTTACTTGCGAGGACAGATTTCCTGGACAGGTTAGATACAAAGTAGATAAACAGGAAGTACAAGTCACAAGAATCTGCCACGAGCCGTGTGTGAACATTGTTTTTATTCACTTATCAGTTCAGTCGAGCTCACAGACTGGGAGGTGTCCTTGGAGCAACAGCCGCATGCTGCAGCCTCACCCAGCTCCTCTTCCAGCTCAACCCAAACATATGGTTCATGGGCAGAGTTGACACTCAGCCATAGCAGTTAAAAACATCCATAAACTTTGACCAAACATTCCCAAACATTTTCCCTAATGTTTTTAAATGCTTATTTTGTATTTGATAATTTTGCAGATGCTTCAGAACACAGATATTAGTAGCCAACAACACTTTGTTCATCTGTAATTAATGTATTTGTTCCGATGGAGTTATAGTTTTGCAGCAAGAAGGTTTGAGGAACATACTTTTGTTTGACATACATTCTGCATTTAGTTAGTTTAGCGGGTTGGGTGCGATAGACGAAGCTTTTCCTTAATTTACACGTTTCCCAGGAGAAATATGATAAGTCGGCCTGTTTTCGAATCCAACTGGAGAGTCAGATTCAGATAAACCACAATTGTTGATTTTCTTGAGGCAGACTGTTTTTTATTGTCAGCCTTGAGTCCTACTGATACTGTCAAGAACCAAAATGGCTAGATTAGAGTGCGTTCTCCTCGTCCGTGCTTAAGAGCTTTTCCAAGGTTGTTTCCAACATGCTGGCGAGTCCCAAAGTTGCAGGTGGCGTGCGATTCTTAAAAATCACTTCCATATCACGGTTTAGCTTGTAAATCAGCTGATTTTGAGTCCTCAAAGCACGAACCAAACCTTCACAGGCAGCCTGACGAGGGACAAATTAGCTGCAGCTGTCTTCTTGTATGTTAATAGACCAGGAACCAGCCGATTCCAAAAATCAGGAAACCTATTATCATAAATCCAGTTGTATACATCTTCGGCATCCTCCTGAGATTCTCAGCGGGATATGAGGGCTCTCCGAGAGCGAATGAGGAAAAAATATAAAATAAAACTGACGAGGACTAAAAATTATTTGAACTAGGTTCGAAAATAATTGTTTAGGTACATATTTCTTCTGGTTCCACTGGGCACAAACATAATTCTCTATGATCTGATTCCTGTTTTGGAGCAATTCACTATCTTCAACTGTGCATACTTTATTGCTCTTTATCTGTCTCATCTTACAGTAGTCTCTAAAAGTGAAGTTTGCTCATTTATTTGTTAAATAGACACACGTGTTGTAAATAATCATGCTAAAGTCTGTGTGTTAGAGCCAAGCAATTACCTCACTTTTTGCCATTTAAGTCACACCTTTTACATAAAGTAACATGCCCTGCGACTTTTAGGGCGAAGCGACTTATTTACATTTATTTCCCCCTTATTTATAACCCAATTTTTGGCTGAGATCTGACGATTTCATTCATTCTGACACAGAAAATATTGAACACTACCATTTTCAGCCACTAGAGGGCCCTTGACTAATATGGCAAGCCAAGTGTCTCATTAATAGGTAAAAGTGGCTATTTATGAGACACTTGGCTTGCCATACAAAGCCAGCATTTTCTCGCTCTGGAACTCCTGATTTAATAATAATGTGTTATTTATTGTCATCATCATATGTTCCCATACAAAGGCAAAATTGTCTCTCTGCTTTTAACCCATCCACCACTAGGTGGAGCAGTGGGCAGCTATGGCGGGCACCCGGGGTGCAACTGAGGATAGGGTGTCCTGCTCAAAAACACCATGAGATGTGCAATGACCGAGGATCGAACCCAGGACCTTCAGGTTTTGAGTCGTTTGCCCTGCCCCTACACCATCTCGGTCTCCAGTTTGGCCATTAAAGAGCATTTATTAAGGAAAAGTTCATCTGAAACACACCTTTGCTATAATGTCAAGCAAACAAATAATTGTTTGTAAGTGATTATCTTGGTAAATTTTGAAGAAATGCACAGCGAGTCCTCCCTCTGCACGCACAGCCGTGAATTGGCTTTTGAAATGCAGCTGATTTGACCATTAAAGTGCATTTATTAAGGAAAAGTTCAACTGAGACACACCTTTGCTATAATTTCGAGCAAACAAATAATTCTTTTTAAGTCTTGATCTTGTTAAATTCTTGTTAAAGTCCTCCCATGCACGCTTCCGCGGCCGCCATCTTACAGCTTATTGATCTTTGGCACGACACCGACCCACGTTTCCGGGTGGTCAGCGGTGACGCACAACAAACGCAATGTGTCAGCGGTGAAGCATAGTAGATGCGACTTATACGGCAGAGAATTTTGAATAAATAGATGCCATTTCCTGCATTCTGGTGTATTTTACAAAGGTTTATTACAGTAGAGTAACATGAAACAAAAGAGGTAAACTCTGTTATTATTGAAATCTCTCTGACTGCAAAGTGTTTTTATTTGAACACCGCTGCAGCTCTGCAGGTAAGGGTCGATCACTCCAGGACAAACTGAGGTCGCTGACTGGCCAGTTGCTGACATGCCTACTGGATTGATTGACAGGTGGCGGGACGCTTGCAAAAAAATAAAAAATAAATCATAGATTTTACTGGCCCGTTTAAGACTGTTGTCATTTATTCTACGTTTATTCAACATTTATTCAATATTCAAGGGATTCAAGGTTTTTTATTTGTCATTTCCATCACATGTGGTGTATGTGGTGGAACGAAATTGTGCACCAGGGTCCCAGTTACATCCAACAAAAGCATAAAATGTAAAAGAAAAACAGCAGTAAGTAATATTTAGGTGAATCAAAGGTTTGAGAACTGTTTCCTTACAAAATCATAATGATGGTTTCTTACTTTTTCAGGGGTGCTGAGTTAAAATTTAGGGGTGTTTGAGCACCCCCAAAAAGAAGCTAAATTCACCACTGAAGCCAGTTCATATTTATAATTTACTTTTAAACGGTTTATGTGTGATTTATAAGTGTATTAAGTGCATGATCACTACTTTTTTACTTACTTACTTAGCTTACTTACCTTCAAAGGAAATTTTAATATAATAATAATGACAGCTTGGTGGGCCAACTTTGGCCCGCGGGCCCCACTTTGGGCATCCCTGCACTAAAGGATCAGGATAAGTCCAACAGTTTTCAGTCAGGTCATCTGGACAGTTTTTTTTGTTGTTGTTGTTGTGCTGAAATGCTTCAACTTCCATCCAGAAGGCTTCATCAGTCAAGGAAGCACACAACAACTAAACCCCAAACAGTTTACTCCAAAGTGGAAAAAACTCTGCTGGTGCTAAGACGGTCTCTTTGGCACGCCCCCTCCTCCGGTGCCGTCCGTCTTCCTCGTTGACAGTCATGTCAAACTGGTTCAAATCAACAAAGTCCATGCTCAATAATCCAGGTATGCAATCCAACAATTTTCAGTCAGGTCATCTGGACAGTTTCTTTTTTTTTTTTTTGGTGCTGAAACGTTTCACCTTCCATCCAGAAGGCTTCATCAGTCAAGGAAACACACAACAAAAAACTGATTCTGAGATGACCAGATGACCTGACTGAAAATTTTTGGATTGTAAACCTGGATTATTGAGCATGGACTTTTTGTTGATCAGGATAAGTGTGTGCAAGTTCAGTTTTAAACATTATATTTAAGAAGAAGTTTTTTTAATTTTCTGGATTTTCTTTTTTGTGTTAATGCCAAATAAAATGTAGCCTTTGTGAATTTTCTGTTGGTTTTTATATCAGAAGAGACTGCATTCTATGAAACTTTGGATCATTAGTTTGCTAAATACTGTATAATAGCAAACAGTATTTTCTGATTTTTTTTTTTTTTTTTTGCCCAGAATTGTTTTTCATATTTACCATTTCTGACCAAATTTTGCACATCTAGGCTCCTGCGCAAAAAATAAATCGCCCCTCTTTACTTCCAAAGAGGAATTTGGCGTATTGATAGCTGAGAGCAATCCCCAACACAGTACTGTAAAATCTAAATTTTAAATCAGCAGCAGCCTGGCAGTCCCCGTCAAAGTTTCTCCAGGAACTTTCTAGTTATTATTATTATCATTATTTGAAGATACCAACTCAGAAAAGTGATTGCGTCACGAGCTGTTTGCCTGGAAGATCTCACTCAGGGTAATTTTCCCTAACGGAAACTCTCGCGAGATTTCCATGAAAGCTAACGATAATTAGCTAGCTCTGTCAACTCCAGTGACGCCGGGTCGTGGACATTTCCTTGCATCTGCAAACACCGCTCTGGTGTTTCAGGTCGCGCACAGTTAATCTGAAAGCCCACGGACGGGAGATATTAGCTGCCGGACTGAAACACCCGAGCTTCTTGTTGAACTGTGCGCGACTCGCGTCCTTAAATCGGCAGGTCAGTTTGTTTTAACGTTAGCTGTTTGTGGGGTCGGCTGCTCAAGCTAGGCTAGCCGCAGGAACCTCCTATTATTTATTTATATATTACATTTAACGTGCTGTGGTATTCTTAGTGGAAGTAGATACGATAAGCTGACGAGAATAGATTAATTTACAACAATTTAAACAGCCAAATCTTGCGTTGCTACTTTTCCTTGCTCTGACGTCACAGCCTGTGCAGCTAGTCTCAGCGGAGCTAACAGAAAGAGAAAGAGTGCTGCTGGAGAACACGACTGGTTGTTAAGGGTTGTCAGCGGTTCATGTGTTGCTGAGGGTTTGAATATGTAGTTTAGGAACACAAATACACTTCCTCTTCACTTCCTTGGGTTTGCGCCGCTCTCTGAGGAATTCCTGTGAGTGGTACATGAAGTGCTTCATGGTGACACGTTGTGGAGCTGTCTGGAGTTTTCATGCTGACTTCACTGATTATGAAAATGTGACGTTTTAGCTTCATAGGCCAAGTCTTCTGCTTTGTCCTCAAATGAGGGATTGCTTTAGTTGAAGTAATTAACTTCAGTTTGCAGTTTCATCAAATGTTTTGGCAAATATTCATTCTACCTTTTATTTATACAGATTAGTCTCAATGAGACTCAAGGACTCATTTACATTTTTTTTTACAGGTTTGACAAAGAAGCACTGCTAAGGATACAGATTTTTATCTTTATTACACAAATATATACCAACTCTGTTTTACACATCACTCTCAATTGCATTATTATAAAGAAATTATGTCTATTAAGTCTTAAGCTGTAACTCTTTGTTTATATATAACAAGTTAACACTATTTATCTGAGGAGCAGACTGCTTTGAATTGGACTCATCTTGAGCAAGCATGAAGGCGACTGTGGAAAGGAAAAACTCCCTCATGAGGAAGAAACCTTTAGCAGAACCAGGCTCAGGACAAGCGGCCGTCTGCTTCGACCGGCTGGGTTTGGTAGGAATAGATACACAATGGCAGGTCAAGAAGCACATGTTAAGATAGAAATAATATCAGATGAAAACTATTCAATTTTAACAATTCATTTAAGGAAATAAGGTCAGTTTGTCCTCTAGTAGTCTAAGCCTATAGCAGCATCACAAGCCAACCCTAACTATAGGATTTCTCAAAAAGAAAGTCTTCAAACTGGACAATGTGTCAGCCTCACGGACAGAAACTGGAAGTTGGTTCCACAAGAGAGGAGCCTGAGAACTGAAAGATCTTCCTCCCATTCTGCTTTTAGAAACTCTAGGAAACGCAAGCAAGCCTGCAGTCTGACAGCAAAGTGGTCTGTTAGGAAAATATGGAACAATAAAGTCTCAATTATAAGATGGAGCTAGGTTGTTGAGAGCTTTGTGGGTAAGAAGTAAGCTTTTTGGATTTGAAGGTTCTTTTTGAATATTTAATGCATTTTATAGTCTCCAAATGTCGGAACAATCGTTCACACACTACCTGTTTCCTACAGAGACTGAGCTGCTCTTTGTTGACTCGTCTGATCTCCTAAAATATCTTTAAATGACAAACTTCTAATACGAGCTACATTTTAAATGAGACGGTATTTTTTGCTAGTGCATTTGAAGAGCAAAATACTGACACATTTATTGCCTTTTTTTGTGTCAAATTACGCTTTTTCTTTAGCGTTTTCAAATGAAAACGAGATGTTTTTCACAGAACACCATTGGTTTCTCGTCCCCAGGAATCGTCCAGTCTCGCTGTCGGGGCAGTGGCAGAGGCAGAGCGGTCGGGGATAAAAACCTTCAGGCATTAGGGCTCCATGAGCACAGCGGGGCAGCAGCAAGGGGTGGGTCTGCGTTCACGCCGAGTGCTTGGCCGGGACAAGGACCCTGGTCAAGGCATGGGCATGGAGGCGACCTGCTGGCTGGCCCCCGGAGTGCTGCGCAGACTAATCGAGCTTCCCGCTCCCCCTCTCTCTCGACACCAGCTCAAGAGACTTGAGGAGCACAGGTACTGGATTCCTGCTGTATTTATTGTATGTCTTTGTATTTAATTATTATGTTATACATTATAATTAATACATAAATGTATATATCTCCTTTTTGTTGGCTAGATTATCCATGCTGCTGTATTCATTCATACCCATCTACTCACTACAGACTCATGTTTGGGCTGCTGTTTAATATACCGTATTATTTTACATTATTAGTGTTTGGCATATATCTTGGATCTTTTATTGTATTGTTTAGGGTTCGTTTATCATATATCTTAGATTCTAATATACCGTTTCTTTTTATACTTTATATTTTTGCTGTTTTTGGGTGCAACTGGGACCTTGAGTACACAATTTATTTCCACCTCATGTACCACATGTGATGCGAATGACTTTAAAGAACCTTGAACTTGAACGTGACATGAGGTAAGTCTTCAAGCTAGACTTCACATGGCCTCACCCGGATGTTGTGGGTCCCGCAGGTACAGCAGTGCTGGGCGCTCTCTGCTGGAGCCTTTAATGCAGAAGTACTGGGAATGGTTGGTGGGGCAGGTCCCTTCCTGGATTGCTCCCAACCTCATCACCATCATTGGCCTGGTCACCAATGTCTTCACCACCCTGGTCCTTGTGTACTATTGCCCAACTGCCACTGAACAGGTTAGTGAGCAGAGAGAAAATTTATTCCAGGAGGTTTTGAACATTTGTTTTTATCTTAAACGATGCTCGAAGGGGCAGCACAATGGTGTAGTGGTTAAAGCTGTCACCTCTCGGCGTGAAGGTCACAGGATCGCCTCCCAGCTTGTTTTTTTTCTGTTTGCAGTTTGCATGTTCCCCTTAACATGTCTGTTTTCTCTGAGAACTCTGATTCTCTGATAAGTTATGAAACTGGTGTCGCGTTTTCAAACAATAATTGAAACTAGTGGTTTTCTTGGTTAGGCAGCACGGTGGCGCAACTGGTAGAGCTACTGCCTCTCAGCGAACAGGTCCCTGGTTCAAACCCCGGTCCAGGTGCCTTCTGGGTGGAGTTTGCATGTTCTCTCCGTGAATGCGTGGGTTTTCTCCGGGTACTCCGGTTTCCTCCCACAGACCAAAAACATGCATGTTAGGCTGATTGGTAACTCTAAATTGTCCCTAGGTGTGAGTGAGAGAGTGAATGGTTGTCTCGTTTGTCTCTATGTGGCCCTGTGATGGACTTGCGACCTGTCCAGGGTGTACCCCACCCCTCGCACAGTGATTGCTGGACATGGGCACCAGCGACCCCCGTGACCCAAAATGGAATAAACGGGTAAAGATAATGGATGGATGGATGGATGGATGGATGGATGGTTTTCTTGGTTGAGATGCTGCTGTAAATTAATAAATTGCCACATGTGTAGTGCCTTAAGGAGCACTATTCTACAGGTGACATTCACTAAACTTTAAATGAAGTCTTTTAATGGTTTCTGTTGCCTTAATTCTTAGTAAGTGTTCATATTAAAAATAAATTGACCTAATAAAAACTGATTTTTGACCACGACTTTGTATTGTGTGTTCTTCCAGGCTCCTCTCTGGGCATACCTATTGTGTGCTGTGGGTCTTTTTGTCTACCAGTCATTGGACGCCATTGATGGGAAGCAGGCCAGACGCACCAATAGCAGCTCTCCCCTGGGCGAGCTGTTTGACCACGGCTGTGACTCTCTGTCCACAGGTGATGAACAATGTCTTTGTTAAGCTGCTGCGGTTCCTCTGTGGTAATTTATACAGAGGGAACAGAAGCAGCACAGAAGCTTTTCTGTGTGCTGACAAATGCTGCTCCTGCAGAATCTCCTGCGTGTCAACAGCGTCTTTGATTAGAGCAGCGTGTTTTACACTGCTGACGCTCCCTTACACACAGGTCGTTTTTGCTTTGTGCTAACTTCTGTTAGCAGCTCAAAGGTGGAACAGCTTGACCCCATAAGATTATTGCTCCTCCGTGGCTCACACATTAGATGGTGTGCAACAAAGACACAATCAGTTCTGTCTGTGTGAGTAAGGCTTTTGTCTCAGAAAACGCGGATCCATTTGAACACTGGTCTGTTTGATGTGCTTGTCTCTGCAGTGTTTGTTGTGTTGGGAACCAGTATAGCAGTGCAGCTGGGCACCAATCCGGACTGGATGTTCTTCTGCTGCTTTGCTGGCATGTTCATGTTCTACTGTGCCCACTGGCAAACATACGTGTCAGGAACGTTACGCTTCGGCATGTGAGTCACCAACAAAAACAACAAAAAAGATTCACCTTGTCTGTTTTTACTTCATTTACCCAAATATAAACTTGCAGAAGCGCTTTTATATTGAAATATAACAAAAGCAATCCCTACTTTTAACATATTATTGGGAAATTGGTTGTGAATCAACCATTTGAGGTTCAGCAGAATCACAACTGTTCACCACTGCTTTCACTTTTTACAAGAAAATTTGACTTGCACTGTTTTAGTGGAGACTTTTGTGAAGTACGGTTGTGTTCATCGTCTTTAGAATGGCTCATTTATGTCCAAGAATGTTGCTTATTGTCCTCTCTGCCCCTCTCTTTTTGTACTCTGAGTCTGTAGTTTTTTATTTATGTATTTATTTATTTACACACAGAAGCAACGTGTACTAAAATGATTGCAATGGGTGGTTCAGGCCACTAGATGTCACCACATTTGTTTTTAACTTAAAACCAACGTTTTAGCTTGTTCTGCAACAAGCACAATATTATAACACACCCATGATTAATACATTTTAAACGCAGTGAAACACTATTATTCTTACACTTAATTCATTTTTCTACAAGTTGAAATATGTAGATATTATTTTAAATTTAAATGCATATTTATGAATTGCTGAAACACTGGATTACTTAAATTTCATAATTATGGCTACTTACCTGCAGTTTTATTTTAGACCTAATAGCTGATGTATTTCCCCCCTACTACCTGCATGTTTGGCAAGGTGGACTGGTTAGCTTCACGAACGGAGGATTTGCCTCTAAACACTTTTTTTCTTCCCTGTATTGCAAAATATTTGTTTAAAATTAAGACATTAAATATGTCACTCCCTCCAGGAAATAGACGACACCATAGTTCTTCTGTTACTGATGGATTTATTCATCTGAACGGCACTTATTGTCATCAAATTCACCGTGGAACTGCTCAAAATACATAATGTACAAAATATACATATTCGTACATTGCATACAAATTTACTATAAATGTGTACAATAAAACATAAACAAATAAACGTACCTCGCTCGTAACCAAGGAGGGAATGAGTCCGCTGGAACAAAAGTAAATCTTCAACCAAAAAAAAGAGCAATGTAACTTCTTAAACCTTTAGGCAGGGCATCAAACTTTTCCTGACGCACACGCCGCCTTAGGGTTGTAACAACTTAAATTGTCCCCAGTGCAACATAGCACTGAAAAACGGTTCCTACACAATGTAACTTACAAACAAAGCAATACTCAAAATAAATAATGTAAACAAAACATATCAAATGATGACATAAATAATATTTATGGCAGTTAAAAAAACAAGTTTTGTCTAAGTGAATAAAATAGTTATGCATCGGTGTTATTCCCTACATTAAACTGCAGCAGTAGCATGTGCAGTCGAGGTGGAGTAAATGTAAATGTGCTCTGTGTGTAGATTTGATATAACAGAAGTGCAGATCAGTCTAGCAGGGATCCAGCTGCTCACAACCACAGTGGGTCCCTCTCTGTGGAACGTTCTGGTAAACCTCCTGGCTGCTGCCTGCATGGCTCGCTGCTGTCCGCCTCCACAATGGCTGCTGACCTGCATGGAGTCACATGGAGAAAGTCCATTCTTAATTTGTTGGTGCGCCTCTTCAAACATTTTAAAACTTAAACGTGCTTCGTGCCAAACAGCGGGCTCCATGTTCAGCTGCGTTGTGGAGGAAGGCTGTGGGATGACATCGTGCTGGAAGATTTTTACTAATCCTCACTATAAATTGTTTGCTTTCTCCTCCCACTCAGCATTGATGTGACTGAGGTGCAAATCTTCATTATAATTATGTATTTGCTGGCCGCCGTGGGAGGATCTGCTTTTTGGCAGTCACTGGTAATTCTTAACGGTTCTAATTCCTACAGACTGACTTAATAAGAGTGATGTCATAAATGTGTGATAAAAATCTTTGATCATTTTTGATGCACATGTAATTCTGCTCTAGCATCTTTGTACTGTTTTATGCAAAATGCAGACGCAGATTAATTTGTGCCCTGTTAAATAAAGAAGGGAAAACTCACGTTGGTCACTCAAACAACTTTAAACTGACAAAAATATAAGAAGTAAAGGATTTCTTTGGTGTTTTTAGCTGCGTTTTGGATCGTCGTCCTGTTGGAGGACCCATCACCTGCATTTGAAACTTTGGACACTGGGCAGCACATTTTGCTCCCGAATGTCTTGATGGTTTTGAGATTTTAACGTACTCCGCACAAATTCGAGACGTACTGTACCAGTTGCAGCAAAGCGGACCCAGAACTGAACCGGTCCTCCGTGTTTCTCTGTGGGCTCAGTGTTTAGTGTCTGAACAGAGAACTGATGAACCTGTTGTCTCAAAGCTCCAGTTTTGTCTCATCTCTCCAGAGGACATTCTCCCAGAAGTTTTGTAGCTTCTCTCTATTCATTTTTGGTAAATTCCAGTCTCGCTTTTTTATGATTTGGTGCCCCCCCTCATCGGTCTTCCTTTAAGAAAAACACAGACTGATGTTGCGATCTGACCCTGACGGACCTCAGAGTTCACCTCTAATCCCTTTGAAAATTGTTCTGGACTCTTGGGTTGTGATTCACTTTGTTTGTCTTTTCGATGCGTCGTGAATTTTCTTCTTGTGGTCACGTCCGGTGAGGTTGGCTACAGTCCTGTGGACTCGTCTGAATAATCTGTGCTGCTGTAGTCACAGGAACATCAAGCTGCTTGGAGATGATCTTAGTCTTTACCTTCAACGTGCTGCTCAATAATTTTATTTCTAAGCTCTTACGGCGTCTCTGTCTTTAGCTTTCTGTGGTTCTTGTTCAGTTTGGTGCACACTATGATACCAAACAGTTTAACCATTTAAATAGGCAGGCTGTGTAATTACATGACTGAAGACGCATGTGGTGCTGATTATAGCCCATACTTCAGTTAGTTTCAGTTTTTTATTATTAGATTTTCTGTCTTATTTCATACTAATACTAATTTGTCAGTTTCAAGTTGGTTCAGTGATCTTAGTGTTTTTTTCTTTGTGGAAAGGGTACAAACAAATTTATCCATGTTGGTAGTTTAATTTGAAATAAAAATATGTATCTGAGTGCTTTTATCATTATCCAACATGTTGCTTTTATTGTCGACGTAATGCTGAACGTGCTCAGAAACTATTAAACAGCCTCTGGTTTTCAAAATGATAACAGTACTTGTACTTTGCTTGTTACTATCCCTGAGTTTACTTGGTGAATGTTTTGATTTGCAGATTCCAGTCCTAAATATCCAGATGAAAATGATTCCTGCCATCGGCACTTTTTTAGGAGCCATCTTCTCCTGCACAAATTACTTCAGAGTTATTTTTACAGGAGGTGTGGGTAAAAACGGATCCACAATAGCTGTAAGTCTCCACTTTTCTCTGCTTCCTCTCATTTTTTTGTGAATTAATAACGGATTCTGGGTGATTTGAGCAGCTCTAAGCAGATGTTTACATCTGGTTTTAACATCTGTCCTCACGCAGTAGTCAGATTTCAGTTGTTGAACAATAAATATCTGTGCACTTAAACTTTTAAACACTAGTTGATTTTGTAATTCGAGAAACTGCCTAATTTGAGCGTGTTTTAGATCAGCCTAATTCACAATTATTATTTTGGTTTATCTGTAAAAACAGCTGTATAAGCTCAGTTACTTATTAGATACTATGAGAGTAGAAAAGGAGCTTAAACACTCAGGTCTGTTTAAAATGTGACTACATTAAACCAATTATAATGCAGTTTATTTTCCAGGTTTTACGTAAACATCGTATTCAAGTTCAAGTAGGTTTATTTGTCTTGTAAATGCTTTTTCAGGTCAATTTGTCGTCTGTGTGACGTCACAGTTTAGTGTTGAGGAGCAGAAATTTCTGACGCAGGGCCGTTTGTAAGTGCAGCATCAAAGCTTTCGTAACGTTAAGTCGATTTGATGCCGTTTTTAAAAGCTCACAACAAATAGGTTAACTGTTAATAATGCATTGTGAGACTGAAGCTGTTCTTTTATAAACGTGTCTTCCAGTAAAACACTTGAAGATAAAAACATTCTTGGGTAGTTGCTTTAAAGAAACGGTGGCCTTGGTGTGTGGTCCTGGACACACTTGATTTCTCACAATTTAAAGATTCAGCTTCTGCCGGGACGTGTCGGTCTTCTCTTCTGACTGGATCACTCAGGACACGCGTTACCACCAGATCTAAAAGTTTAATGTCAAAGCAGAGCAAAATGATCAGTTTGTAGTTGAGAGTGAATGCAGGCATAACACTTCACCCATTTGTTATCTGCGCTTTTATTTTTTGTTATATTTCTTCTGTCATATTTACGTCTTTATTCCCCTCTTTTGTCTTTGTCTCCAGGGAACCAGCGTCCTCTCTCCTGTCCTTCATATTGGTTCAGTTATAGTTTTGGCAATAATGATATACAAAAAGTCTGCTGTCCGGCTCTTCGAGAAACATCCATGTCTCTATATCCTGGCGTTTGGCTTCGTATCAGCTAAAATCACCAATAAATTAGTTGTAAGTGGATCTTTTTTTTATATATTAAAGGGAAACCAGGCTGTTTGCATGAGTTTAATCTGATTATAGGTAGAAAACTTTCTACAAACCGTCACACAGACATCAAACCACAGACCTGCAGGAAGTTAATCTTTTCGTCTTGTTCCTGTTTTCCACGCCAGATTCAACCAGTTTAAGTAACTGATCTTGTTTGTATCACCTTAGACACGTGTTGCAACGTGTGAACAACCTGTGATTTCTGTTGATGCTCAAGTTTTTATAATAAAGTACAGTCCAGGTGGGAGAAATGAGAAAAATGCTGCTTTTGGGTTCCTAAAAAGGGGAAATCATCTCGACTCATTACAACTGCAAAGCTGTTTAACTTGTTGAGCTTCACTTGGAACAAATTAATCCCCTTTAACTAGTGACTAATATTTATTCACGCTTGACTACTTCAGATGCTTAAAATATTTAACTTTGGCTAAAAAAAGAGGAAAGTTTCAAATGTATTTTATAAAATATCTTCAGGACTCGTTGAGCAGATTGTGCAGCCAAGCTGGCACTAACCCAGAAGTTATATGGGGTGGGAAGAAATTATGAAATATATAAATGTAAAGAGGTAAATACAAAAGATAAGTTAAAAGTGTTGCTAATAAAATGTAATAAAATCAAATGTAAGAGATTTAGAGTGAGACAAATATGTTCACTTGTGATGTTTTCTAAAACGTCGTTCTTGCTTGTAATGCTTCCTGTAAATAAATTTCCAACAGGTTGCACATATGACGAAAAGTGAGATGAATCTTCACGATTTAGCTTTCCTGGGGCCAGGGCTACTGTTCCTCGATCAGTATTTTAATAGCTTTATCGACGAGTACCTGGTGCTCTGGATTGCTCTGGTAAGTACTTGTATGAACTGATGAGTGTATTTGTCACTCTTGGATGTTTTTAAAGTAGAAAAAGCGGATTCACTTGATAAGATTAGGCTAAATGTAATACAGCCTGTACTTATAATGATGTCATGAGTCAAAAAAAAAATTAAACCTGTGATCTTAGTGAATTTTTCAGTCATGGCTGGACTTTTAGTTGATACTTTACAGTGTTGTAAAACAGAATTGATAGAAAAGGAAAAAAAATGCATCATTTTGATGACAAGTCAAAGAAGATTTAGAAACCAGGTTAAATTGGCGTATTTGTAGTTAAATGCAGTGATTATTGTTAGAATGTTTTTAAATAATTACCCAGAAGTCCTGGATGAAGTTTAGAAAATAAAAGTATTAAAAATACTTGCAAGGAGAGAGAAAACTGCCCTTACATCCAGATGAACGTCACCCTCCAAAATTCAACACAAAGTGTCGTTCTTACAATAAAATGGGCAAAAAAACCTCTCTCTGCCCGTCAAACAAAAAGACCATTATTTAAACATTTCAAGTCCAAGAAGGAGGATGTCCTCCCCCCTGCCGCTACTCTACATTCCAACCAGCTGGCAGACACAGACCGTTTTAGATGCTTGGTTGAAGTTTGTCTTTGTTTGGTTAGTTGAAAAATCAAGAAACGTTTGTCTGTCTCTGTCATGGAGTCAGTCAGTCTTAGTCAGTCAGTTTTGGAGTCAGTCAGTCTGTCTTGGAATCAGTCTTGGATTCAGTCAGTCATTCAGTCTTGGATTCAGTCAATCAGTCTTGAATTCAGTCAGTCTTGGATTCAGTCAGTCAGTCAGTTAGTCTTGGAATCAGTCTTGGAGTCATGGAGTCGGTCAGTCTTGGATTCAGTCAGTAAGTCTTGGAGTCAGTCAGTCAGACTTGGAGTCAGTCAGTCAGTTAGTCTTGGAATCAGTCTTGCAGTCAGTCAGTCAGTTAGTCTTGCAGTCAGTCAGTTAGTCTTGGAATCAGTCTTGGAGTCATGGAGTCAGTCAGTCTTGGATTCAGTCAGTCAGTGAGTCTTGGAGTCAGTCAGTCGGTCTTGGAGTCAGTCAGTCAGTCGGTCTTGGAGTCAGTCTTGGAGTCAGTCAGTCAGTTAGTCTTGGAATCAGTCTTGGA